GGAGTTAGAAGGTAGTAGGAAGTTAGCTCGCTAGTTTCCAGCTAAACATGATCTACAATGTTCTGACTGAGAGATTTCTGTAAAGATTAAAACGTACAGCTCTGCTATCAATACCAATATAAATGAAACAGAAAACAGCAGTGACTCTTTTAGGGTTGCTGAAGTTGGGCTAGCTGGTATATAATGATGTGCTACATGACCCAGCTCACCCCCCACAACATTACTGGTCTTGTGACCAATTTATTGACTCTGTTGTAAATGTGAAACTGAAGGTGAAAGTATTTATGAGCTTGGAAAGTCCCTGACATTCCCTCTGGTTGTTTGTGAAATATTTTCAAAATTAACCCTTTCATGCATGAATTACGACAACCTCAATCTGGATTTGTATTTTTATTCATCTTTAGGCATAAAAAGGATTTTTGAACTTCATTTTTTAAACATGTGCTTTTCAAATTGTTTTTTACATGTCCACTTAGGTGGACAACATACTGACCAGTGGGTGGCAGGGTATGGAGTGACACATCAGTGTCCAATGTAGTGGTTTATTTGTAAGTATACCATCAACACTGACCTGCTACACACAAACACACACACACTGTCAAACAACAGATCCACTTTCAAAGAGCTCCCTCCCAGAAACCCACCAAGTTATCAGAGACAGTTTAACAGTGAGGCTCTGCCCTCTCTGTCACTTCCACCTCTTCTTAAATTCAAAGAGTTCTTTTTCTGATGGCATGAAGCTTGCTTTAAAGTGAATTGTAAAATCTTGGGGTTGATATTGTTACAGAATCACCTTCATTACCAACTATGCCACCATCGAACTGAAACAACATAAAATTTATTGAGATAGTAAGTTGGGTGAAATAGAGATAAAAAAAGATCTATACAATATAGAAAAAATACCTCACCCAGGCAGAAATGAGCACTTTACAGATACTTTTAAGAACATTTGAACGTCCTCTGACTTAAATTGGCGTCTCCTGCAACAACTTGCCATGCTCACATTTCAACATGGGCATCCGTCTCACTTAGGTGCACTAGCGGAACCAACATGCAGTACAATAGTTCCTACATGAGAATTTCCACAATAAATGACCTAATTACATACAAAATGTTACGGTTCAATGTAACATAAAAATGTGCGAAGTGCAAAACAAAATTAGTCAACTAAAAGTATGGCACTAAAACAGTGTTTAAGCAGAGGCAGTAGACCCAGTATCATCTGCAGACGCAAAGCTATTCAGACAATGCTGAAGTCTTTGTTTTATGTTTGACCTATACAAACAAACCATCACTACTACACTCACTAGCCACTTCATTGGGTACACCTAATGTACCTAATAGTATAATGGTACCAGCCTGGACCTTTTCTTTTTTCTTTAATTCTTTGTAGATTCAGGAAGGAAACGCTCCTCAGAGATTTTTATTGGTATTCACATGATAATATCTTCCCCGTTCTTACGCTCGGTTTGATTCTCAGTGGGCTGTTTGTTCTGTCTACAGAACTCAGTGAACACACTGAGTTACTATTGCATGATTGGCTGATTAGTCTAATGTCAGTAAAGTTTCTCTTTCCTGAAAACCTCTCACGTGTTTTTCTTCAGACTGAAACTGATATTTAAATT